TCCCCTATAGATCTTGATGAGCGGATGTCTCCCTGGCCCCCACCCCATTGAACCAATGCCAGCTAACGTGCGTGTGTGTGTGTGTGTGCACGTGGTCTGAATGTTCATGCCCCCCACCCAAAGTTCATGTGTGGAACCCTAACCCCCACTGTGATGGTATTTGGAGGTGGGGCCTTTGAGGGGGTGATGAGGCCATGAGGGCGGAGCCCCATGATGGGATCAGCGCCTCTAGAAGAAAGAGAAGAGAGACCAGAGCTTCCTCTCTCCGTCAGGGGAGGACGCAGCAAGAAGGTAGGCATCTGCAAACCAGGAGGAGGGCCCTCCCTGGTCGCCGAATCAGCCGGCACCTTGATCTTGGACTTGCCCGCATGCAGAACTGGGAGAACCAAACTGTTGCAGCCCCCAGCCCCCAGCCCCTGGTAGTTTGTTACAGCAGTCCAAGCTGGCTGAGACAGGGGAACAACCTAGAATAGACAACCAGCTTTGAGTTCCAAATGTCATATTTTTGTGTCCATAGCAAGACTATATCCCCCTTTAAGCCTGGCCTCGCTGGAGAAGAAAACATTTTAAAGTTATAAAAGCCAGCCCCCCCTTTCACTCCCCCTGGTCGTGCGCGCAGTCTGGGGGCCGCAGGACTCTCTCTCTGCCCACCCAGGAGGCAGGCTGGAGCGCCAGGAGCTATGCTTCCGCCCGAAGCCTCAGCTGGGGGCTCCCTGACGGCAGCTGGGGGACAGGCTTGCTCTGTGCGGTCTCCAGAGTCGCCACCGCCGGCCGCCCGCTCACAGCTCGCCCTGTTCTGGCTCCCTTCCCTCCCCGTCCCACACGCATCCCCTCCCACCGGTCCCTGGCCTCACCTCCCTAAATCCTCGTCTCCGGATCTGTTTCTGGGGGAACACAGGCCAAGCCACTTCCTTTCACGAAGCAAGAGTGTCTGAGCACAGAGATGCCCACGGGCCGCTGAGCCGCTTTCCCCAGCAAGAAATCCCAGTACGCAGCGAGTCAGAAATGGGACAGACTTGAGGGGACAGGCCTGAGGTGGGACAAGACCGGGGCTCCTGGGCAGGGAAACGGCACCCCCACCCCACACCCGAGGCCCTCCCCAGTCCAGGAGAAAGTCAGGAAGCCCGAAGGGGACAGAGCACCATGGGCAGGGCAAGGTGTCCCCTGCATGCCCAGCAGGGTGGGAGAGCAGGCCAGAGGAGGGGCTGGGCCTGCAGGTCCGAGATGCCCCAGCTGGTGAGAGCCCTGGGGCTGGGGTGCGGAAGGGCGGCAGGAGGGGGCGGCGGCTGGGTTACCCATGGGCAACCTGCTCTCAGCCCAAGAGAACCATCAGCGGCTGCAGAGAATCCCAGCTGGAAGGTGGGCCCGGTGCACCTGCCTCCTGACAACAGCCTCCCTCCCCCACTGTACCTGCTCATCAGGGGGGGGAGCAAGAGTGCTTTTCCCTCTCAGCCAAGGGCAGGGGACGAAGGCACACAGCCCACCTCAGCCTCAGACCCCACCCAGGCCCCTGCTGCTCCCAAGGTCAGTTCCGTCCATGGCACCGGACACGAAAGATGGCTCCCTCCTCCTTTGGACTCTCTCCACCCGGCTTCCAGGACGTCAAGCCCCCACCTCCTCCACTCCCTGGAGATCTGGTCCCGCTCACACCTGTCTCTCACCTGGACCTCTCTCTCGAGCTCCAACTCACAGTCACTGTCCTGCCTGCATGAGACGATCAGTGGCAACTCAGTATAATGTGCCCCAAACCCAATTCCCAGTCCCCCCACCTCCTGCCCCAGGAAACAGCAGCTCTGTCCTTCTGGTTGCTCGGGGTCATCTTTGACCTTCTCCCTCTCCCCCCAACCCATCCTCAAACCCTGTGGACCCTGGCGTCAGAATCCAGCACATCCGCCGTGGCCGCCTTGGTCCCGCCAGCCGCAGCGTGCCCCAGGACATTGCAACAGCTTCCTCAGGGGTCTTCCGGCTCCCACATGTCTACCCTTGCCCCCTGAGGATTAGCCTCCACTTAGTAGCCAAAAGTGATTGTTGGGAAAAAAAGGACAGATCGTGTCCCTCTTCTGCTCAAAACCCTCTTGATGACCTCCCATGTCACCGAGGAAAAGGCAGAGTCCCTCCGTGATCCGACCCCCCACTCATGACCAGCCCCCCACTTCTGCCGCCCCAGCCACACTCCTGCCTTGGCACCTTGCCCATGCTGTTCCCTCTGTCCAGAACTTCCTACAGCCTGATGTCTGCTCCTCCTTCAGGTCTTGGCTCAGATGTCACCTCCTCAGTGTGGTCTCCCTAAACACCAGGCTTCACGTCACCAGCCCCCTCCCCGACCTTTCTCACTCCCCTCCTCAGTGTTCTCTCTCCAGAACACAGTCTACCTGCACATAGCGGGCTTTCCATAAATGCCAAATGAATGACACTTAGTTCCCATGGCCTAGACTGTTGTTCTGTCCTCTCTGAGACAGGGAGGTTAAGGTGCTTGCCTGACATCACACAGCCAGTAAGTGGGGACAGCATACAGGGAACTCTGGTCTGTCTGTCTCCAAAGTTTTGCTCTTGGAGGTGGGTGGTCTGGTGGGGGGAAGAGTCTGGCCCTGATGCTTCCTCGGGGGGTTACTTAATTCTGGAGCCTCAGGTCCCCCACCTGCAGAATGAGGGGAGCACGGCAGGGGAGCAGCTGTGAGGACGAATGAGCGCCCCCAAAGTGTTACCTAGAGCAGGGGCCTCCCTCCCGGGCCAGGCACGTCCTTCATGCGTCTTCACGTCTCCGGAGCCATTTCCGACGCCCCCAGCCCGCCTTCACTCTGTTGGCAGAGACTCGACAGGGGGGCCGTTGACTGATATGATAATTCCACGATCGTCGTTAAGTCCGCCAGTTTCTCAGTGACGGATCTCCAGGGTCCCGTTCAGCTGAGCGATCTGTAGGTCTAGGATCTAAGAGACCCGCAGAGTTCCCAGACACCCACTCCCGCACACAAGGGGGCTTCTTAATGAGACAGTCTGCCTCAAGTCATTTGGAAGGAGGCAGGCTACGAGGAGGATTGCCACTTGTCCTCGGCAATTCACTGAGTGAGGCGTCATCGTCCCCGTTTTAGAGATGGGGAGACTGAGGCCTGGCGGTGAAGGGACACGCCGGAAGACACACGGCAGGTCTTCCATGGACGCAGACCTGCCAGATCCTAGCCCCCAGGCTCGCTCGTCGCCCCAAGTGGCCGCAACTTCCCGGTGACAGTTCTAGGAAAGGTCTCACCCAGCATTTGACTCAGGGGATCAAGGCACCCACTGGGAGCCCTGCCCAGACAGCGTTCGGTAATGAGCTTGAGCGAGTGTGCTTTTGTTCCTCTCCCGAGAGCAGTGCGCAGGACACTGGTGGGTCTCCCTTTGATACTAAAAGGGGAACGGAGGGTCCGAGAAGAAGGGCGCCTCTGGGATGGAATGTCCAGTGTCCTGAAGGGTCAGTGTCCAGGGTCACGGTTCCCCTGGACACAGCTTCCCGCTCCCTGCCCTGGGGACCCGCACTAGACCACTTGCCTATGGGAATAAATCCACCTCCTCACAGCCTACCTTGGCTCAGGCTGTCCCCTCCTGGAGCCCTTGCCCTTTCTCTCAGCACCCTTGACCTCCCCCAAGCCCTCAGCCGGGGCCCTGATACCTGCACTCTGCTCTAACTGCACTTCCTGGGGGCGGAGGTGGCCGCTGCCTTGCTCACCTCCATGGCCCCAGCGGCTCACAGGGTGTCTGAGAACGGGGGCCCAAGGGGTTTGTGAAAGAGCCGAATGAGCCAGGGCTCCTCCGGGGGGGCGGGGCGAGACCCCACCAGGGGGTTAGGACCTGGCTGAGGTGGCCTCCCCCTCCACGGCGGCTCCCCCCTCCGCCAAGGGTTCCCAGAGCGTCCATGGAAGCCCATGGAGCTGCACAGCTGGGTCTCGTTGACAGGGCTGCCTCCCACCCCCGCTGATCTCCGCTTTCCTCCCCCACCTCCGCCCCCTGCCACCTGGTGCCGCCGCCAGTGAGTGTGAAAGGGAGGCCCCGCAGGTGGGCGGGTGGTGGGTGGACAGACACGGGGACAGATGCCAGTGAGGTGGTGGGTGGGAAGATGGAGAAACACTTCCCTTTTGGGTGGTGGGTATTGGCTTTGTTTCTTTCCCTGCAGGCGGCTCTAGAAATCTAAGGATGGAGACGGAGCCAGAAAAAGGATGCCAGGGCCCCAAGCAGCCCCACCCACAGCCTGGGCTCTGCTGCCAGCATCTGGAACTCACCCCCTCCTCCCTCAGCCCCCTCCCCACCTCACCCTGTCACCCTTAGCAGTAGCCCCCGACCCCCAACCTCCACAAGGTGAAGCCCTTCAGATTTCTTCCCTCCCAGGTGGGGAGGGACAGGTGCCCAGGCCACCTGCCTCCATCCCAATCCAGAGCAGGGAGGGCAGCCTTCTCTTCAAAAACTATTCAGATGGGGCGTCTGGGTTGCTCAGGTGTAAGTGTCTGCCTTCGGCTCAGGTCATGGTCCCAGGGTCCTGGGATCGAGCCCCGCATCAGGGTCCCTGCTCGGCGGGAAGCCTGCTTCTCCCTCTCCCACTCCCCCTGCTTGTGTTCCCTCTCTCGCTGTGTCTCTGTCAAATAAATAAAATCTAAAAAAAAAAAAAATAACTATTCAGAAAAGAAGCTCCCAAGAGTCCCTTCTCAAGCAAAAGAGACTTTCTGGGATGATGGAAATAGTTAGATCTGTATTGTCCAGGACGGTCAGCACGCACTCCATGGGGCTCTTCGAGACACACTAGAAATGTGGCAATGGGACTCAGGAACTGAATTTGTGACTTTATTTCCTTTTAATTAATTACAAAAGTAGAAAGCTACACGTGGCCAATGGCGAGGGCATCAGACAGCTCATTCTAGGGCTTGTGCTGTGTGGTGGGTCTCCCTGGTGCTCCAGCTTCCAGAACAGCCCTATCTCACGACAACTGTCTCTTCCCCATCACATCTCAAAAAACAAAACGTCAGTCCAGGTGCTCACGTTATTGTCTTTTATTCCAGCATCTCCCAAAGCTCCAATATGTACAGATTTCATTTATACACATAATATACACCATATATACGTATTTATAGATATTCACACACCAGCCCACACGCTCTCAGACTCTCACGCGCACACGGCCTTCCCGGAGAGGCGCGTGGCCGCCTCTGAGCCCTGCTCGGCCGCACGAGAGGCCCTGGGCTTGCCAGGCAGTTGTGAGGTTTTGTGTTTTTGTTTTCGTTTTTTTTTTTGCTTTTAAAAAGAAGGCCATTTCCTCCAGAGGTATCCTCTCCCCAAGCCCAGACTCCTCCCCCAAAACACTCTGAAATTTTTTTTTTTTAAAAAGGAAGAAGTTCTCCTCTGCTCTGCCAAGGTAGCTCCGGGAGACCCAGGCCCATCCTCGTGGCCCCTGGAAGGTGAATCTACCCAGTGCTCCCGGGGGGGGGGGGGGGGGCGGGGAACCCCGGATGGCGGGAGGGGCCCCCAGCAGGCGGAGAGCCCGCCCGGGCAGGGGCTATAACGTCAAGGGCACCTGCCAGATGAGGAGGGCGCTGTCCGTCTCCCCGCACGGGGCCGGCCGCCCGCTGCCCCCCGGGGCGCTGCCGAAGTGGCGGTAGCCCAGGCCCCCAGAGATGATGGCCACGGAGCAGATCTCCTTGCGGTGGGCGTCGCGGGCGCAGGGCCGGCTGCGCACCCAGACGTCGGGGTCGTCGGCCATCTCGTAGATGGAGCCGTCCTCCTCGCTGTGCTCTAGGGCCGAGCCGTCGGCGGGCGCCGGCTCCCGCACGGACAGCAGCGGGCCGGGCAGGTGCGCGGTGGAGCGCAGGCGGTACTGCAGGAGGATGCCCTTCTTGCGGGGCAGCTCTCGGCCCACGTGGCTCGCGGGCATGGGTGTGGGCTCGGGCGCCGGCCCGTCCGCCTTGTCGTCCTCGGCCTGCGGCCCCTCGGCCTCCTCCTGGTCGCTCCGCAGGATGTCGGGGGCCAAGATGCTGGTAGCCACGGCCAGGAAGGCCACAGGCCCGCAGTGACCGTTGAGCGAGACCATGCCTTTCCCTGCAAGAAAGGGGCAGGGAGAAGGGGCCCGAAGGCCCAGGGCTTTAGGGGAGGCACCCACACCTCTATCTTGGAGAACTTTCTGGGTGCTGGTTATTGTTTTGGGAACTGCAATCTATGTTGGAACCTTCCAGAAGGCTTTGGGTCTGGGGGAGGGCTCTCCCACACTCTGGGGCCATTTTCTGTGGAGGAGTGGGACAGGGAACAGGAGTGACCTTATAAACCTGTTGGGGGGGGACCCTTGGGGGACCGTCAGTGTGAAAGCACCTGCAGCCCCCGCCTGAGCCAGCCGCACGTCTTCCTGCCTTTGCTCGAGCCACTGGCCTTGCCCGGAGAGCCTTCCCCGGAGAGCCTTCCCCAGCCACCTGATGCTACACCCTGTCCCATAAGCCCAGTTCGGGCTCCTCCACAGCACATCCTTCTTGACTCCACCCACAGACTGCCCAGCACCCCGGTCTCTGGGCCCCGAGGTCCCGGAACACCTGCCATCACAGCACCTGCCCCCTCCCCCGACCTCAGCCGCCTCGGGCAGACCATCAGCACTGGGGGGGCGCGGTCTCGGCCCGATGCATCCCTACAAACCAAGGACCAACACCACAGGGAACAAAATGACCTATGTGATAAAAACAGGAGACTTTGGGATTTAGGAACGGAGGGCTCCCGTTCCAGCTGGGCGGGTCCACCGTCAGGGCTTCCCCCCAACCCCACCCACCCCGGCCCCCCACTTGCTCATCACTCTTAGGGCAGAAGCAGAGAGGGGCCCAGGGCTCTGGGTCCTCCCTGACCCCGCCCTTGCTCTCCTAGCCCTAGCACCCCCCGTCAGGGCAGACCTCCCGCTACTCCATAGGAACACATTTGCACATGGACCCCAACCCCAGGAGCCCTCGGTTGTGTCGGTCTTTGGAACCTGGACATTTTGAAGCTGCTGTGGGGAAGGGACAGGAGGGGCCCAGCCGATAGTCAGGGGCCTCCACCAATCCTGAAGCCACTTGACCAACACACACTATTGCGCCCATTGGCCAGATTAGGAAACTGAGACCCAGAAAGCCGCTGGGAGACCTTGGGGCGGGATGACATAACCCCAGTGTGCCACAGTGTCACCTGTGATCTCAGGGGCATTGGAGACAATGCCCACGTCAGAAGAGAGCGTGAACCTCTGGGCACAGGCTCACCCTCCCCGGCCATCTGCAGCTGACTCCCAGGCCCCGCCAAGACCGGTCTCCAGAGCCTCACCTGTGATCTTGGGGATGCCTTCCAGCCGAGGCACAGGCAACAGGACAATGACCCCCTGGTCGGTGCCCACCCAGAGCAGACCCTGGCAGATCAGGAGGCTGGTGACACACAGGTGCTTCTGGCCTGTGGAGAGAGAAGCCAGCATGAGCAGCACTCCCTCCTGCGGGGGCGGCAGGGGGTTCTGGGGGCTTCAGGTGAGGAAGGGGCGTGGTCCGGCTCCTCGGGGGAGACAAGCGGGAAGCTGGATGGGGCTGTGGTGAGGACGTGGGGTTGGGAGTCTGACCTGGCTGGGTCGGGCCCCTGCATCCCGAGCCTCAGTTTCCACCTGGGTACAGTGGGGCTGCGTGAGGATGGGAGGGGGTAGCGCCACACAGCACAGTGCTGGCCCCTGGGGGCCCTCCGTGGGGGGTGCGGGTTTGAGGGTGAAGCAGATGCGGGGCCGGTGCAGATACAAGAAGCGGGGGGCGGGGGGCTGGCAGTCTGCTGCGGCCCCTCGGTTTCCAGCACAGGCTTGCCCACGTGGGTCCTTCCCCGGGTGAAGGCCGAGCGCACCCAGCAGCCCCCCGGCCCGCCAGTGACGCGGACAACTCCGTGCCAGGAACGGGCACGCTGCTGACGTCAGTCCGCATTAGTTCTTGTCTGGCTGGCCCCCTGCTGCTGTCTCTTCCTTTTAGCGAGACTGGCGGTGGCAGGGAGAGCGCTGGGGTCCCCACAGCTCTTTACAGGGGGGATGCGCCGTGTGGGCTCCAGGGCCCGGTGCCGGCCTCAAACCCGGGCCCTGCCACGTGCCAGCTACACGACCCAGGCCAGGCCCTAAGCCGCTCTGTGCCATTTCCTCACCAGCCAAAGGGGATGATGATGCTATCCCACAGCCTCGTCCCGAGGATTAAATGAGTCAATTAATGAACGTAAATCCCTGAGCCCAGTGCCCGGCCCACGGCACACACAGAGCGCCGTCGACCACCTACTGCTGTTAACAAGCCCGGGCAGCGGGAAGGGGCATGAGGCAGGGCCTGCGCGCAGACCCCTGCCTCTCTAAAGGGCCAGACCCCTCTGCCCCACTGCAGGGGCTCACACCTCCCTAAAAGGAAGTTCACGTGCACGCCACGGGGTGTGTGAAATGCTGCTCGGAGCCCTGGCCGTCGACCTGGGCGTGCATCCGCACCCCCGGCCGGGCCCGTACCCCCAGAGGTGAGCCCCCAAACTGCGTTTCTGGCAAGCACGCAGGTGACACGGCTGCTGCTGGCCTGGGGACTGCGCTTAGAGAAACGCTGCTTTGGAGCGTCGAAAGCACACATGAACCTGCTCTGGTCTGACGGAAGCCTCGCGGCGGCTGAGGGACACAAGACACCGGTACTGTGCCCGTTTTCCAGGGGAGGAAACTAAGGTCCAAAGAGGTCACCCAGCTGGTGGGCGCAGGCTGGGAGCCGGGCTCCGGTGTGCCGATTACCGTCTACACTGCAGCCACCTCTCTGCTCTTGAGCAAATGACTGCAGTTCCAAACGGGTAGGGGTGTGGGCTTCCTCCGAGCAGAGGGGGTGGCTCCCCAGGGCTACCGTGCTGGGGTTCACGCAGCACCGTCTGACAGCGTACTCTACCATCACCAACCCACTCGCCCGGCACCCCGGAACATCCCAGGCGCCCACTGGGCGCGGGACTCTGCGCTCAGTGCTGGAGACACGGTGGGAGCCACACACACAGTTCTGCTCTCGGGGAGCAAACCCTCTAGGACTTTCCGTGATGATGGAAATGTTACCTATCACGCTGTTCGATTCTGCGCCGTCAGCCACATGTGGTTGGTGAGCACGGGAAATGTGGCTGGTGGGATGGAGGCACCGAACGTTTTATTTTGTTCAGTTTTCGTTGTAAATAGTGGCTACCGATTAGCGCCGTTTGGAGAGGGGAAAGAGGAAGGGAAACAAAACGAGGAACATAAGTACCAGGCAGAGGATTCAAATGGGGGATGGGGCAAGGAGTGGGCAGGAGGATTTCCAAGTTTCCTGCCTCACTCTGCTTTCTGGAAGGATGGGGAAGCAGGTGTGGGGATGTGAGGTCTGGAGGACAAGGATAAGGCAGCCACGCCAACTCCCAAGCTAAGGACTGGGACACAGCACATGCAAAGGTCCTGTGGCAAGGATGAGTGGGTGGCAGGAGCAGACTACAGCTAGCCCCGCTCGGGGATAGGGGCAAACTCAAGACAGCTGGAGAGCAGGTGGGCCGGGGTAAGGACCAGATTGTTCACTCTGAGCAAGATGAGAAGCTACTAGAAGGTCTGAGTAGAGGAGCAGGTGACTTGGTCTGAAGGAGCGCTTTAGCCACAGAGTGGTAGAGGACAGGAGGGAGGGAGCAAGCAGACCAGCCAGGCAGAGACGGTGGTGGCGAGATGCCACGGTGGCCTGGAAGATGATGAGGAGCCAGGGCATTCGAGATCCGTTTTGAAGCAGATGGACAGACCCATTGACAGACTCGAGTGGGTAGGGAGAGAGGACAGGAATGAAGGACAACTCCGGGCAGCTGGGTGCATGGCAGTGCCTCGGACTCAGATGGGGAAGCAGCCTGGGGTGGAAGGCCACACTGTCTCCTGGATGTGCAGCTCGAGATGCGCGTGCAACTGCCTGCAGGCAGTGGGACCGACGCACCTGGCAATAGGATACAAACTCAGAGAGTCCTCTTTGCGGTCCTGATTCAGTGTGGGGATGCAAACCCCGCAAGAAAAGCCAGTTCGTCTCTGGACAAGGGCGACTGCACAAATGGGTCTGGGTGTCTGTGGAGCTGGGACTCCCCCATGCCTGGGTCGGTTCAGAAAGTGTAGCCGCCAAGCCAGCAGGGCAGGCTCGGGGCCAAGCGAGGGTGCTCCCCGCCCTCCTGGAGTGGGTGCAGGCTGCCACTCTCCCTCCTCACCACCTGGCTTCCGCTTGGCCCGGGTCAGGGTCTCTGCGGCCCCACCTCTCCCTTACTGCTTGCTTCCCAGATGGAAGCCTCGTGTGTGGGTGAGGGCAGCCGCTTACCTGCACACTCCGACTTGGTCCCCCGGCTCCCGGGCCAGCACCCTGGCTCACGAGAGTGTCTGCCGGTGCACGAGGGAATGAGTGCCAGGACAAGCGAACACAAACAGAAAAGTGGAAAAGGACACGGGTGTTGACGTCACGTACTGGATGTGCGAACTGACAAGCCGCTTTCTATCTCTCATCTCCCAGGGAGGATTATAAACCGACCTCGCTTTATTTTATGATTATTAGAATTATGCATGTGTGTGTAATACAGACACACAGTGGGCCCAGCTCTGAGCCCAGCGAGTACGATCAATGAAAGGAGGCCATTGGGACAACGTCTGTGATTATGAAAAGGACCTGGACTCCTGGCTGAAGATCGACTCCATCAGAGCCATAAACCCACAAAAATAATTAAGCCAAAAGAGTGAACAAGGGCACATTTTTCATCCTGCTGCCTCACCTCCTTTTCCAGGGCCCCTGGGGCCATGAGCCCCGGGAGAGACCATCCCCCAATGCCCCCGCATCTTCCCGGCCCCACTGGACAACCGAGACCCAGCCGATGTGAGGGAGGCAGCAGGTGCCAGAACTGAGAAATGACTTCATCTGCAGACCTCATTCTGAAGCCCTTCCTCCTCCCTGTCTGCAAGACACCTCACAAACAGTCCGAAAGAAAAAAAATTCTAATGGTGGATAAATATTTTATCACAGGGACTTAATGCAGCCGTGTTCAACTCACCCAAGCCATCTATCTGTAGATATACAACTTTAAAAGGCTCTGGCTCTCAGAGAACATTTTATTAATGACCTGTCTAGTTAAGAGGAGGGGGAAGTTTAGGTTCAAAAAAGCATTAATCCCAGTCGGGTACATGAGTGGAGGAAAGGGGTCAGGGGAAGGAAGCGTGATAAATTTTTAACATGCCCTTAAAAAAATCCACACTTAGAAGAGGAACAAATTTATTACTAATTATGCAATTATTTCATTTGGTGGTGTGGGGGGGAAGAAAAAATACTTAAAAGTCTTTTAAAAATATCTCTAATAAAGAACTGAAGAATCCTGCTCTGCTGACCTTCCTCCGGGGCACGATGTGACGTAGGCGGAAGCCCCCCCCGCCCCCTGCGACAGCTCTGGCCCCGCTCCCCTCGGGCTTGGGGGGTCCTGGCCGGGCAGGTGGGGCTGACCAGGAACTGCCAGGCTTGGGGACGGGGGCCCAGGGCAGTAACCCCTGGGGACCTTCAGGGAGGCCCTGCCCCCCAGAACCTCAGCCTCCGCCCCCGCTGGGCCAGCCCCAGGGATGGCTGGTGAGCGAGACGTGGCTTCTATGCTGGACATAGCAGGTGCAGCCGGAAGGACATGGGTGGGACAGTGGGGCTGAGCAGCGAGGCCCCCAGATGTGTGGCCCGCGGAGCTGGTGTGGTGAGGGGCAGGGATGGCCACGAGGATGAGGCCCAACCTCCCCGGGAGGCGGGGACTGGGGGTCCTGGGGCCCCCCCACTCGCTGCCTGTCACGGGGTTGGAGGGCGCAGAGCCAGCCCAACTCCAGCTCTGGTCTATCCTGCTCCCACTCGGATCTCGGCCCCTCCCTGTATAGATGGGGAAACTGAGGCCTGGGACTGGGGATGCTGTACAGTGAGCCTGTGAGAGGGTGCGATTCAGGTCCTGGCTCTGGCCTCCCCGGCAGCGCGACCTCCGGTCATGTCCCCTCCAGGGTCTCCGTTGACCTGGCTCTGTCATATTCATAAGGACAGGGCCTGCCCTTCCTCCCTTAAAGGGGAACGGCCAAGGACAAGAAAGCTGGTGGGTGAGCAGATGCATTTTAAGGTGACATAAAGCCGCAGCTGGGCAGAGGGGCTGCAATGTCACCTGCAGCGGGCTCTGCCTCTGACCTCCGACTGCATAACAAGGGACTCCCTTCTCCCCCTCCCCTGCCCCACAGAGGAGGCCGAGGAGATTTAAAAGGCCTACTTTTTTTGTTGTTCTGCTAGCCTGAAATAATTTAGCTTTCAGTGTAAGTGTGGAAATATTTCTGTGATATAAAGAAATTTTTATCATAGTTAAAATGGATTTACCTTGCATAATGGCTAAATACTGAGAAATACAATGAAACTGAAGGAAGAGGAAGGGAGGGGGAGGGAGGGAAGGAAGGAAGGAGGGAGGGAGGGAGGGAGGGAGGAAGGGAGGAAGGAAGGAGGAAGAAAGAAGGGAGGAAGGAAGGAAGGAGGAAGGAAGAAGGGAGGGAGGAAGGAGGGAAGGGAGGGAGGGAGGGAGGGAGGGAGGGAGGGAGGAAGGAAAGAAGGAAGGAAGGAAGGAAGGAAGGAAGGAAGGAAGGAAGGAAGGGAGGAAGGAAGGGAGGAAGGGAGGAAGGAAGGGAGGAAGGAAGAAGGGAAGGAAGAAGGGAGGAAGGGAGGAAGAGAAGAGAAGGACAAGAGCCATAACCCAGGCCCACACAGCACATCCCAGAAAGCGCATTTAGGGGCGCCTGGGTGGCTCAGTCGTTCAGCGTCTGCCTTCGGCTCAGGTCATGATCCCAGGTCCTGGGATCGAGCCCCACATTGGGCTCCCTGCTCGGCGGGAAGCCTGCTTCTCCCTCTCCCACTCTCCCTGCTTGTGTTCCCTCTCTAGTTGTCTCTCTCTCTGTCAAATAAATAAATAAAATCTTTAAAAAAAAAAAAAGTTTAAAGAAAGTGCATTTATTCTCCTCATGCATGTCCCACGCTCCAAGCCTGGGCAAGGCACCTTCCCATGCCTAGAGGCATTTCTCTGAGCCAGGACCCACCTCTGCTCCCACAGAGGGACCACAGGCCCCAGGAGGCAGCGACAGCTGCCCAAGCCCCACGGTGGCCGAGCCAGGACTTGGGCCACCTCTGAAACCATCTCTCCCCTGTTGCCCATAGTGGGACTCTCAGGGGACTCCCGGCCCTGCCTCAGGCCCACTGCAGGACCATAGACAAGCCACGTTTTCCTGCTGAGCAAACCTCAGCTTCCGCACATGTACGATGGGGACAACCCCCACTCCGTGGGTTACTGTGAAGTGAGGCCCTGTATCTAAAAGCCCTCGGAACCCGGCTCAGTGCAGGGCTGAGGGCAGGGTGCGTGGCAGGCGGCTGTTACACACTGTCCCTGCCACCGCTGATCTTGGGCTTAGTGACCACCGCCCCCTATCACCACCAGTCCAGACCCGGGGACCGCTATTGTGACTGGCAGGAAGAAGCAGGGGCCAGGGTGATCTCTGGGTCCCCTAGCTGGGGTTAGGGACCAGGCCTCTGGGGTAAGACAGAGGCCCCCACAGCCCCTTAGGTTCTGGCTAATGTGCCTGCCCTTGGCCCGGCCTCATAGGACAGGGAGATCAGTCCCCCAGCTCAGCACGTGGCCACTCTGGCCTCCACATGGCCCATCTGCTGAGTCCTTGTAACAATTAGCTCCCCACCTGCCAGGCCGGCCCCGTGTCCCTGGCCCCAGGGCCCCTCGGCTCTCCCAGCTGCTGAACCCGGCCCAGCTTGGACAAGATGGAGCCTCCGCATCCTCTCAGACAGCCTGTTTGTCTGGTGGAAGCTGGGCCAAGCTCTAAAGCCAGCTGGGGGTGGAATGGGCCCTGAGAAGGCATCTGCCCTGGCTCCCTCCAGCACAGCCTGCAGGGTCTGGGCAGCATCTCAGGCGGCAGATGGGAAGGGGGTTGCCACGGAGGCCTCGGGCAGATGCGGGGAGAAGCAGAGTGTTAGGGGAGCTCCAACCTTCCTCCTCTCTGCTGAGTATCACCAACAGCTCAGCAGGAGGAAGCAGGGCCCCAAGGGGATGATGTCCTAGCCCTTCACTCTCCCCCTGCCTCCAAACCCCAACCAGCAAACCAAGACAGTTGCCTTTCTTAGAAAAACCTCTAAAGAAAGAGACCTCTGGTCAGCCTTCTCTCTTTCCCCTCGCCTCACATTCTGTACATGACGTGAGGCAGAATTGGGATTCTGGTCACCCTGAGGAGTGGCAGGTGTGGATGGGCCTGGGTTCCCACCCAGTATGACTGTTTAGCAGCTGCCCCACTTGGGAGAGTCTGTTGAGCCTGGAGCCTCACTTCCCGCGAGAAGTGAGAGGGAAGAGTGATGACAGCAAGAGAGGTTTGGGAATGACAGCCCTGAGTTCGAATCCCGGCCCTGCTGCCTCCGCTCTTGGAGGCCAGTTTTCAAAGCCGGCCAAACACTGCTACGAGGGCTAACAACGTGGGCTGGCCCGGACGCACCTCTGCCCGGCCGTGGAAGGTGCTCCACGAAGGTCGGCTCCTCCCCTGCACAGGCCCAGGACAGCAGGGCACGATGCCCAGCAGCAGACTCACCTGGCAGGAGGAAGGTGGTCCTAGTGGCAATGTTGATCTCCTGCAGGTGCTCCAGCGTCTCGGTGTGGAAGAGGCGGATGGAGGAGCCGGACGAGAAGGCCATCCAGACGCCGCTGCCAGCCTTCACCATGTGCGTCACGCTCACAGTCTCATCCTGGTGCGCCTCGAAGCTTTGCTGTGGCACAGACAGCAGGGTGTCGGTGCTGGGCTGGGCCCTCCAGCTGAGCCTCACGGGGCCAAGCTAATCTAGCCTCGGCCTGAACCAGACTCAGGGCCAGAAGCGAACCTCAGGAGCCCGGCAGTGGTGTGCCGATGATAAATGTTTAACAACGGGTAGGGAATGCCAGTTTGTCATGTCGGCCGATCCCCGTGGTATAAAAACTTCTAATGTGGCCCATCACAAGCTTCCCACATGACACAAGGAGCTAGGAAAATGGTAACGCACACAGTCAGCTCTCAGGAGTTGACACCACCAGGCTCTGGCAAGCTCCTGTGACACAAGGGAAAGTCAGGGCCAAAGTCAATGCAAGAGGAGGTGGCAGCCTATGTACGTTATCGAGAGTTACAAATGCAACAAAACAATGATCAGGGAAGGGAGGTGGGTAGTGTGAGTCAAATCCTAACCTTTTACAGCAGGGATGCAACACATAATGTTCAAAATTTGATAAACCAAGAAACAGTAGGGAGTTGGGTTCAAGATGGTGGATCCTGAACTCACCTCCTCCCACAGACACGACAATCTACAACTACTCATGGAATAACTCCCCCTGAAAGGGACCTGAACGAACAGAGCCTCCACAACAAATGATAAAAGGACACCACTGAGACGAGATGAGAGGCAGACTGCCCAGGGAGAAAGCCCCGCCATGGCACATCACAATCGGGAAGGATAACAAAGGTACAGAACTCCCCTGAGGAATGAGGAATTCGAGCTCCACCTCAGGCACCCCAACCCTTAGATCTTGCCCGGGAGAGATGAGCCCCCAAAACACCAGGTTTTGAAAATCAATGGGGATTACATTCAGGAAAACTAGAAAACTGAAGGGAACAGAAAACTCACTCTTAAGGGGCTTGCACACACTCACTCAACCTGGAAACCAGTCAAAAACACCAACGTGAAAAAAAGCATACATCTCTGATCAAGAAGATCCATTTACTAACAACCTTAAAGGGTCTGTCAGAGTGGCAGAAAACATCAGGGGCTCTCCCCATGGACTGAGGTTGGAGCCACTGGTAGGACCATCTCAGTCTACCTTCCTAACACTGGGCACCATTTTGGATTCTCCCTGTAACCTGATAGTGCCAGTGAGTGTATTCCACTGAGAGTCTTGTCCACCAGTGTACCCCAGCAGCCGTGGACATGCCCCCAGCCAGGCCAGGAGCCAGTGTGCCACAGCCACAGCCCCATCGCAACAGGAGGGCACACACAGCCCACAAGAGGGACACCCCTTGAGCATATGGCTCTGGTGACCAAAGAGACTGCACTTCTGGGCCCCACAGGTCATCCCCTGTATAAAGCCACCCATTTAAGACTGGGAGAGGTTGGTGACTCACCGAACACATAGAAACAAACACAGAGTAGGGCAAAATGAAGAGACAGAGGAATATGTTCCAAATTAAAAAACAAGACAAAACCTTAAAAAAAGAATTAAATGAAACAGAGATAAGCAAACTACCTGATAAAGAGTTCAAAGTGATGGTCATAAAGATGCTCCCCCAATTCGGGAGAAGAATGGATGAACACAGTATGAACATCAACAAAGAGATAGAAAATATAGGAAAATACCAAACGGAAGTTATAACTGAACTGAAAAATACACTAGAGGGGTCCAATGGCAGACTGAAGTAGAACAAATCAGTGTGCTGGAAAATAAAGCAATGAAAAACACCCACACAGTGCAGCAAAATGAAAAAAGAATTAAGAAAAGTGAAGACATCTGAAGAGACTTTTGGAACAACATCGAGTGAAATGACATTTGTGTTATAGGGATCCCAGAAGGAGAAGAGAGAGAGAAAGGGCCAGAAAAGAAGAAATAATGACTGAAAACATCCCTAATCTGGGGAAGGAATCAGACATCTGGGTCCACAACACCCAGAGTTCTAAGCAAGATGAACCCAAAGAAATCCACACCAAGACATGTTGTAATTAAGATGGTAAAAGTTAAGGATAAAGAGAGAATCCAAAAAGGAGCAAGCGAAAAACTTGTTATGTACAAGGGAAACCCCACAAAGCTATCAGCAGATTTCTCAGCAGAAACTTTCCAGGCCAAAAAGGAGCAGCATGACACATTTAAAGTGCTGAGAGGAAAAATCTTCCAACCAAGGTTATCATTCAGAACTGAAGGAGAGATTAAGAGCTTTCCAGATAAGCAAAAGCTAAAGGAGTTCATCACCACCAAACCAGCCCTACCAGAAATGTGAAAGGGCCTCCTTTAAGCTTAAAAGAAATGGCACTAATCACTAGTACAAAAACATACGAAAGTAAAAATCTCACTGGAAAAAGTAAATGTATAATAGCAAAGATAGTGAATCAATCCTTACAAAGCAACTGTAAAGATGAAAAGACATAACTGGTAAAATTAACTAAAATCACAATAATTAGTTAAGGGAAGCACAAAATTAAAAAATGCACAATGTGTCATCAAAAATATAAAACATCAGAGGTGAGAAGTAAAAAAGTAAAGCTTTAGAAGTATTTAAAATTACATTGCTATCAACTTAAAACAGACCGCTGTTGTCATAGGAGATTTTACGTGAACCTCAAGGTAACCACAAGGAAATACACAAAAGAAAATGAGAAAGGGATCTAAACCTAACAGGAGAAAGCCATCAAACCACAAGGGAAGAGAGCAAGAGAAGAAAGGAACAGAGAGCAGCTACAAAAACAGCCAGGACGCAATTAACAAAATGGCAACAAGTATACCCTCATCGACAATTACTTTATATGGAAATGGACTAAATGCTCCAATCAAAAGCCACAGAGTGGCTACATGGATAAACAGCAAGACCCATCTATACACTGCCTACGAAAAACTAATGTCGAAGTAAGGACACCCACAGGCTGAAAGTGAATGGAAATGAAAAGAAAGCTGGTGTAGTGATACTTACAAGTACAAAATAGACTTGCAAACAAAGACTGTAATAGAAGGCAAACAGGAGCACTACACAGTGATAAAGAGATTAATCCAGAAGATATAACTTTTACTAATACATGTGCATCCAACAGGGAGCACGAAAATATATAAAACATATCTTAACACACCTGAAGGGAGAAACTGACAGCAATGCAATACTAGTAGAAGACTTTAATACCCCACTTTCATCAATGGATAGATCATCCAGACAACAACAAAGAATAAGGAAACATCGGCCTTAAATGACACATTAGACCAGATGGACTCAACAGATATTTATAGAACATTCCACCCGAAAGCGGCAGAAAACACATTCTTCTCAAGGACACATGGAACATTCTCCAGGATAGATCACATGCTGGGCACAAAAGAAGTCTCTACAAATTCGAGAAAACCAACATTTTATCAAGCATCTTTTCCAACCACAATGGTATGAAACCACAAATTAATTACAAGAAGAAAATGAGAAAAACCACCAAAATAGGAAGATTAAAAAACATGCTACGGAAAAACCAATGGGTCGAAAAAGAAATCAAAGAAGAAATTCAAAACAATACCTGGAGATAAATGAAAACAAAAATACAACACATCGAAATCTGGGTGGGGGCGCAGTAGAGGTGGTTCTAAGAGGGAAGTCTGTAGTGATGCAGGCTGATCTCAAGAAACAGGAAAAATCTCAAACAAACAATATAACTTTACACCTAAAGGAACTACGGGGAAAAAAAGAAACAAACAAACCTCAAAATTAGTAGATGGAAGAAAATATTAGATTGGAACAGAAATAAGTGAAATGGGGACTAAAAAGACAATATACAAGATCAATGAGACTAAGAGCCGGTTCTTTGAAAAAGTAAACCAAATTGACAAAGCCTGAGCCAGACTAACCAAGAAAAAAAGAGAGAGGACTCAAATAAATAAAATCAGAAATGAGAGGGGAGATGTGGGGCTCATACCACCGAAACACAAAGGATCATCAGGGTCTTTTTTTTTTTTTTTTTAAGATTTTATTTATTTTTTAGAGAGCGAGCGAGAGAGAAACAGCATGAGAGGGGAGAGGGTCAGAGGGAGAAGCAGGCTCCCCGCTGAGCCGGGAGCCCAATGCGGGACTCAATCCCAGGACCCTGGGATCATGACCTGAGCCGAAGGCAGACGCTTAACCATCTGAGCCACCCAGGCGCCCCATCAGGGTCTTCTATGAACAATGATATGCCAGCACCCTGAACAACCCGGAAAAAAAAACAGGTTTCCTATCCTAGAAAAAAAAATGGATATTCCTAGAAACATATAAATTTCCAAGATTGAATACTGAAGAAAGAGAAAATCTGAACAGAATGATTACTAGAGCAAGGAGATTTTAACAGCAATCAGAAACCTCCCAACAAACAAAAGGCCAGAACAAGGCGGCTTCACTGGTGAATTCTACCAACACTCAAAGAAGATTTAATACCTGCCTTTCTCAAACTCTTCCCAAAAATTGAAGGGAGGGGAAGTTTTCAAACATATTTTATAAAGCCAGCGTCACCCCTGACACCCAAACCTGCCCTGATACCAATTACAGGCCAGTAACATAGATGCAAAAATCCTCAACAAAATATCGGCAAACTGAACCCAACAATATATTAAAAGGGTCATACACCATGACCAAGTGGGATTTACTCCAGGGATACAAGGATGTTCGACATCTGCCAATCAATGTGATAAAGCACATTAACAAAATGAAAGACAAAAATCATATGATCACTTCAATAGATGCAGAAAAAGCATTTGACAAAATTCAATATCCATTTGTGATGTTGAAAAACTCTCAAAACAAAGTGGGTATAAAGGGAATGTACCTCAACATAATAAAGGCTGTATGTATGACAATCCTACAGTGAATATCATCCTCAACAGTAAAAAGCTAAAAGCTTTTCCTGTAAGAACAGGAACAAGACAAGGATGCCCACTCTCGCCACTTTTATTCAACATAGTACTGGAAGTCCTAGTCACAACAATTAGGCAACAAAAGAAATAAAAGACATCCAAAGCAAAAAGGAAGAAG